TCATAGGAAATTTACTAAATTTGCAAATTCCGTAACTCAAATCTAGGAAGCAAAATGTGATTAGGAAGTTGTAATACTCCAGGCGAGTTTACCCAATTTTGGTAAATGCACCATGTTTTTCATCGAGAATTTTTGAAAATTTGCAGTCGAAAAAGTCCATTTGCTTTCTATAGCTAATAAAAGAATGCCTTTTCATTTTTCTTTTTTCACAAACGTTCATAGAAAATTAATAGTTGATTATTTTCAAAAAAAACCAGTCAAAATCTATGATCCCGCACCCAAGCTGATCCTCGGCCTTGGTTCACCAATTATTTATCCGAAAAACACTGTTGAGTACTACTCAACAACAGTGGCTAGTTGTTATGTGTAAACTTCGCTGAAATTAGCTACCCACCACCAGCTGCTGACACTACTTGAATCGCAAACGGACAAATGGGAGGCTATAGAAAAAGGCGAAGCGCAAAATACCATTCTTCTAGGTTTCTATGCAGTTTCGATTGGGTAAATCCTTTTTTTTCATCATATCAGATCTGAACCCGGGAAAGAGGGCTTACGTATAAGGATAAGAGGAAGTCAAAGTCACAGATCAATCGATCCATTATAACTCCTGCGGCTGAAGCATAAAGTTAGTTTGAATCAAAAAGGACAAACTGAGAATGTTTATAGGCAATGTTTGAGATTTCAATTCTGAGTTTCATTTAAATAACTTTTTGATCCTTGATTTTAATGTTGATACAAATATAAACTTCAATCATAATAAAAGATACATCCCCGTTCCTCTTATAATGACGGAGACAAGTCGCACCGGTGTGCAACGACCAGCTAAGGTCCCGCTGAAGATTATTGAAAGGAGCCAAGGACGGCCAGTCGAGCTCCTTCAAAAGGAGCCAAGGATCAGTTTTTCCGAAATTTTTCGTATAACTGGAATTTGTAGTCGCATTCAACACCCCGAAATGAATCAAGCGATAAAAATCAAAATTAAAATTTGCCCGAACACTGCTTTGATTAGGAAAGCTGCAACATTGGTGGCAGTTCTACACAAGGAAGAGGAAGCAATCATACAGAATACAATATAAAATGATGCGTGAGTTCGAAAATCTTCTATCCTGAGGTAACTTACGAAAAATTATATGATATTTAATTATTCTCTCCATTAATCCTTCCGTCTTTGAAACAGCTTAAAAAATACTAGGAACTTTACCTTAATCTGGGAGCACATAAATCAAAATCCTTGAGATGTTTTGAAAGCCAAAGATTCTAAGAAAACCCGAGGAAAAGCTCTCAA